GTGCCCGCCGCGGATCACGCCGCCGGCGGGCCGCGAGGTCGGAGGCCGGGCTTCCATGCGCTTGACGTGCACCGAGGACTCGAAGACGTAGCGGAGCGGGTCCCGGCGCGCCGGCCGCCGGCCGCGCCGCGCAAGAGCGAGTCGCTCTTCGCCGTCGTCGAGGTGCCCGCCGCGGATCACGCCGCCGGCGGGCCGCGAGGTCGGAGGCCGGGCTTCCATGCGCTTGACGTGCACCGAGGACTCGAAGACGTAGCGGAGCGGGTCCCGGCGCGCCGGCCGCCGGCCGCGCCGCGCGAGAGCGAGTCGCTCTTCGCCGTCGTCGAGGTGCCCGCCGCGGATCACGCCGCCGGCGGGCCGCGAGGTCGGAGGCCGGGCTTCCATGCGCTTGACGTGCACCGAGGACTCGAAGACGTAGCGGAGCGGGTCCCGGCGCGCCGGCCGCCGGCCGCGCCGCGCGAGAGCGAGTCGCTCTTCGCCGTCGTCGAGGTGCCCGCCGCGGATCACGCCGCCGGCGGGCCGCGAGGTCGGAGGCCGGGCTTCCATGCGCTTGACGTGCACCGAGGACTCGAAGACGTAGCGGAGCGGGTCCCGGCGCGCCGGCCGCCGGCCGCGCCGCGCGAGAGCGAGTCGCTCTTCGCCGTCGTCGAGGTGCCCGCCGCGGATCACGCCGCCGGCGGGCCACCGCCGCCCCCCGGGGCGACGACGACCGCGCCCCGGGGGGTGACGCCTCCCCCCGGGGGCGGACGGGCGCGATCGCGGTCGTGGGGAACGTTTTTTTTGGGGATGGCGTGGGCGGAGCGAAAAGGGGTCGTAAAAAGCGGGGCTTTTGGGGGGGGGGACTTGTTGGGACGCCGGGAGGCTACGAGAGAGGTACGAGGTGTGAGTATGACGCGTGGCGAGTGTGCGGTGAGCGTGGAAGGTCAAACAGATGGCCAGACGTTGAACGAAATCTCGCTGACGCCTCGGTGCAACAAGGGCACGGCCGGGGGTGCTCGCCGCGGCCGGTCGCGGTCGACGCAGCCGCCTACGCCGTTCTCGCGCGACCAGGGCGTCGTCGACGACGCCGAGACGCGCCCTCGCCGGCGCCACGGCGCCGGCGCTTCGACGGCAAAGAGCGCGCCGAGGGCGACGCGGACCGCGCGGGGCCGGCCAGCGGCCCGGCCAGCGCCGGCGACGATCTGTCGACGGACCTGCCCGGCTACTGCGTCAGCGTCGCGCCGACACGGAGCTGCGGGGCTACGTGTGCTCGGAGTAGCGCGCGCAGAAGCACCCCGCAGACGGCGCCGGGGCCGCCGCTCACTCTCCGCGTCGCCGCTGCAGACCTCCGAGAGTCTGCCGCCTCCGCCGCGACGTGCTCTACGTTGCTACACCTCGGTCGTCGCAGGCCGGGGCCCTTGGTGTCTTGCTACTCCTACTGTGCCTTCAGGATCCGGAGTCCTGCCGCGTCTAAGCCGAAGCGGCTAACATAGCCCGCCGGCTCTGGGAACTTACCCCTCGCCCTGCTTGGACCGGTCGCCGCGGCTCATCGAGAGCAGGCTCGTCCAGACGATGGCGGCGGTGACGACCGTCGGGACGCGCAGGTGCGTCGGCATCAGCCAGAAGTTGAGCGTCTGCACCGGCCCGAAGATCATCGTCGACCTACGACGCGGTTCCAGGACGAAGGTCTTTTGGACGCGGCCGCCGCGCTTGACCGAGTCGACGAGGATGTTCTCCCGCCAGCACGCGATGCCGCTCGGGATCGCGTCCGCGCCGAGCTCCGGCTTCGTGGCCACCTCGCGGACGCAGTAGAAGACGGGCAGATCTACGCGCGTCGATCGCGCGAGAAAAGGTCTCCTTTTCGCCCGACGCCGGTCCGCGACAGAAGAGGGGCATGTGCACGGCCCAGTCCCACGCGCCGGCTTTCAGAGCGGTGGCAAAGGTCGGGTTCGGCGCGTTGATGGCGGGCACGAGCCGCGGGATCAGCTTGTTAAAAATGTAGTACTGCGCGCCGCCGATCCAGAGCGTGCCAAAGGCGAGGAAGCAGGCCGAGCGCCGCAGATCCATCTGTCGTACGTCGCCGCCCGCCGTCGCGAGCTGCACGCAGGCGTCGACGCCGACGTTCTTGCCGCCGCCGAAGAAGCACGCCGCGGAGACCGGATTAGCCGCGGCCCAGGCATTGAACGAGCGCGCGACGAACGCCATCGCTGCCCTGCTCGACTGGAAGCCCTTCAATCACTACCGGATCGGTGGTGCACCAGAGCTCGACCAGATCTGGCGCTGCGCCATGCGCGCCCGGACCGGCTCCGACGGCTGCGGCCCGCATTGCGCCGTCGAAGTCGTGCTCTGAGGTACCTCTGACCAGCTTTTGAGCTTCCGTCGACGCCTGCGCGCGCGTCTGCGGCGGGGTGCTCGGAGACGCGAAAACAGCGATGGAGGCCGTCCGGCGGCGGATCGGAAAATTTGCGGACTCTTTTTCAACAGGGAGCTCCTCATGGTAGTGCGCGTCGATGGTGCTACGCAGTTTCTGGCCGCGCGACGAAATTTCGACGACTCGCGAATGCCCGACGGGCTACGACGCGTCGACGCCGAGGACGCAGTCCGCGGTGCGATTCCGGGCGGAGACGCTGGGCTGGCGCTCCTCGAAGGCGTTGGGTACGCGGGGCAAGCCCTCGAAGGCGTTGGCGTGGCTCCCGGGTGCGATATCGGCGTGTAAGATGTGGTTTCGGCTCCAGAGCGCCTCAAATAGCCCGAAAACGCATGTTTCCGGGACCATGCGCAGCGTTTCGCGTCGACCGATCACCGTCGCTGTGTTCCGCCGGGCGGTTCGACATCACAGAGCTCCTGCACGACGATCTACACCGTCTCCGACGCCCAGAAGGTGCCCGGCCTATAATCCCACATTGAAGCTCTGGACCGCCTCTCCAGGACGCGTAACCAAAATCTCTTACCCGTCGTCGTCGTCCGACTCGTCGCCGAAGAGCGTGCCCATGGTCACGTCGGGCGGCGGCTTCGGCTTCGGCGGCGGCGCGAGGCACGCGGGCAGCGCGGGCCGCTTGCTCGGCGCGGCGCGCGGCGCCGGCGCGGGCCGCTTCTTCGGCGCCGCCGCGGGACGCGCCGCCGCCGCGGCGGGCGGCGGCGCCGACACGGACCACCGCGCCGCGATCGCCGGT